TCTGGGGAGGAATCTCTGGGCCTCCTGGGAGCCTCGTGGGGGCCTCTTGGGCACGGAGGGCCAAGGCCGACGACCCGCAGAGCCACACGCGGCCATCCAGGACGGCTCGCACCTCGGATGGATGGCTATGGCGGCAGGGCAGCCGCCCCCCTCGACGACGAAAGGCCAAGTTCGGTGGCAACTCATGGGAGCCTCCCATACCATCTTGTCGGCTCTTGCGAATCGACGCTAATCGACTCTAGTCGACGCTAATCGACGCTAAATCGACGCTAACCGACGCTAACTGACGCTAAATCGGCGTTCTCTCATCGACCCCCAGACGCTAATCGATGCTAACCGACGCTAAAGACGGAATTGAAAGGGTACACCAGGCTCCCATGCCTTGCTACCGAAGCCAAGTATGAATACACGTCGGTCGGAAGAGGCAGGTAAAGACATGAAGTAGGAAGGCGGCTAAAGTGGATTGGGTCCAGGCCCTCCCAGAGAATAACAACACACAGCAAAAGCAAGTCGATCCTTGAAGCAAGAAGGCGCTTGAACTAGATTGGGATCTGGGAATCCAAAAACACCAATGTCCAACGACCGGCACGAACGCCGAGTATGGATGCACGTCGGTCGGAAGAGGCAGGTAAAGACATGAAGTAGGAAGGCGGCTAAAATGGATTGGGTCCAGGCCCTCCCAGAAAATAACATAACACGGCAAAAGCAAGTCGATCCTTGAGGCAGGAAGGCGCTTGAACTAGATTGGGATCTGGGAATCCAAAAACACCGATGTTCAACGACCGGCACGAACGCCAAGTATGAATACACGTCGGTCGGAAGAGGTAGGTAAAAACATGAAGCAGGAGGGCGGATAAAGTGGATTTGGTCCAGGCCCTCCCAGAGAATCACAGAACACAGCAAAATCATGTCGATCCTTGAAGCAGGAAGGCGCTTGAAACAGATTGGGATCTGGGAATCCAAAAACACCGATGTTCAACGACCGGCACGAACGCCAAGTATGAATACACGTCGGTCGGAAGAGGTAGGTAAAAGCATGAAGCAGGAAGGCGGATTAAGTGGATTGGGTCCAGGCCCTCCCAGAGAACAACAAAACACAGCAAAATCATGTCGATCCTTGAAGTAGGAAGGCGCTTGAGACAGATTGGGATCTGGGAACCCAAAAACACCGATGTTCAACGACCGGCGTGCACGCTCGTTCTCAAGACCCAGAGCGAGCTCCAAGCAGCGGTGGCCCATGCGATCCAGCATCAATCCAGGAGACCCTGGGAGGCAGACGGTGCGAACGCCGGCACGTTTCCTGACCAAGGCTACACCCTGCGAAATGCTTTAGAAATCATGGGTTAAGAAATTCATAGTCTCAGAACTTGAATAAAAAACCCAAAACTTCCATTCAAATCTTAGGATTTACATTGAAACGTTAAGAATAATCGAGACTCTGGGCGAAAACTTAGGTTTTCTTAAGCATCGCCTAAGGTGTACCATGCCGAACACCCACAGGTCCAGCATGTTCAAAGCCCCGCCGGGCCCCACGAGATTGCCCAACCCAAGCACGGCCATGCGCCCCAGGACCGAGGCCCCCATAGCCAATCGCTTCGGGCACGTTGGCGGGGGCGGCTGCACCCACCGTGGCTGACCAAGGCTGCCATGCCGAACACCCACAGGTCCAGCATGCTCAAAGCCCCGCCGAGCCCCACGAAATTGCCCAACCCAAAAGCACGGCCATGCGCCCCAGGACCGAGGCCCCCCTAGCCAATCGCTTCGGGCACGCTGGCGGGGGCGGCTCTGCACCCGCCGTGGCGAGGTCTGGAGGCGGTTCAGCAGCAGTCAGGAGCTGCTGGGCTCGAGCAGCATGGTCCTCTTGACGAGACGGGGGACGGCGAAAGGCTCCATCGAAGTCGAGCTCGCCACATCCAGGAGGGGAGGTTGAGGAGATTGGCACGGCATCCCGTGAATTGCTTGCTGGAGAATGCCTGACCTTCTTCCACGATCCCAGGCGGATTGTCGATCACCCGAGAGGAGGAGGAGGAGGAGGAGGAGGAGGAGGAGGAGGAGGAGGAGGAGGAGGAGGAGGAGGAGATGTCTGACCTTTTTCCACGATCCCAGGCGGACTGTCGATCACCCGAGCAATCCTTTCCCAGAACCACCCAGAGCCAGTGGGCCCGAGCAGGCAGAGGTCTTCTCGCCCTGGCCTCCGCCGCGCCAGTGAACTGGCACATCCTGTGCAAAAAGGAGCTGTAATTAACTACCTACCCGACCACCCCAACCCAACCCGAAGACCCGAATTTCGGGTTGGGGGGGGTACGGCTTCCAGATGTATTTTCTCGATGTTCCCCGACCCCGCCCCCACTGGAAATGGAGGTCAATTTGAGACCTTCGGGTTGGGTTGGGGTGGTTTGGTGGGTGGTTAGCAATGTAGCATCGCGTGGCCGTCGACGCTCAGCCCAGACTGCGCGCGCACATGCAATCTCTGCCCCGTAAGCGCGGGAGCGCCCCCAGCCTTCCCCGAGCCCACGACGGCGGGCGCGATCCTGACGGGCGGCAGGGCGAGCACTTATATAAAAGGACTGCCGCGGCAGCCTCACCGACCGCAGGCGACAAACCCTTCGAGAGCATGGCATCGTGCGCCTCGGCAGCGACGCAGGCGACGAATACCTCGGGCTGCTGCGCTCTCCAACGCAGCGACTTCTTGTCACGCCAAACACGCTCACGTTGACAGCCCAACTTTACAACGGACAGACCGCGGTCCGCGACGACGGCGGCAGCGCCCAACACCTGGACCCGACGGAACCTACCTAACAAAGCACTGGAGGCAACGAAACCGTCGATGGAGGCGCCATCGGAGATGGATGCATCGGCACCGAAAGAAAACCTAGTGGGCGCACAGGCCTTGCTTCAAAACTAGCGTAGGAAAGACAACCTGTATCGAGACGCCAAGAACGTAAGCCACTCACCACAATATGTCCGTGTACCACGAGAGAACTCACCAAGCAAGATATCATCCATTGGGATTAATTACTTTGGTCCGAGCCCTGCATTGACGTTAATACCACCAATTCAATGAGAGTCACCAGGCACGTAGAAGATAGAGATGTGCATGAATACTGAGGGAGACGTCTCATAGAAGCAGCTGTCCGACTGGAGATGGGGGAGGTCGGCAGAGACGGAGAGGAACTACATCTCCTCGATGACGAAACAAGCACGCACAACGCGCGAAACTTCACCAACGTATCTAGGAAGTGGGAGGAGAGAATGAGCGTGACGCCGATTCATAACGATTACACAACCACGAAACAGCACTGAACCTGGCGAAACAATTGCAAAATACCCAAGAGCTCTGTCGGGCATATCTTCATCAACACCGAAATCTGCATGTAGGAGAATAACATCCCAATCACATGTAAGAAGATTATCAAAACTTCTGAATAATATCCGGCAACTATCGCGAATGACGACATTCATCGACTGAATGACCTTCTTTCCCCACGCTTTCGAGACCCCTGGTTCTAGTTCAGAAACCAGTCGGCTGGCACGAAAATCGCTGTGCTCTGTCCAACCCTCTCAAGAAGATAGTGTCTGAGGTGAGGGTGGACCGCGTCAGCTCCTCATTGAGGTTCTCCATCAGTGCTGGTGCACCCAATTCATTGACATGTGCCACAACTGTCCCCTAGCCCCCATCAGGGAACCTGATCTCACGCTGGGAGACGACAGTCTTGAACTTGCGTCCATACCCATCCGATTTTGAGAGAAGCACATCCGTAGTTTTCAGCGTAGAAATAATGTGCCTTTGCTCCATAGTCTGGTCCACAAGCGCTCTGGAGGAAAAGGCTCAACACCTGGAACATCGACTGGAACGTAGTTGGCGCAGCCAGAATCACCAACCAGCGTAGCCATCTCTCTCAACACACTCACGATGCTTGGCAAGAAGAACCCACACCGCCTATCATCACGCATGTAGAACGCAACACGGTTACCAGGAGAAGCACACACACTTTGCGGCTGATACACCTAGCATTCACCAAAGAAACGATCTTGTCCAGGTCGGGCACCATCTCATCCTTTTCGCAAGCCTCAGGGAAGCCTCCGATCACGATCTTCACTGCATCATCACCTTCAGCAGCCAGTGCATCAACCGCCGTCTTCTCAGCACGCTGAGCAGCCTGAACAGCGGAGTCTGCCTGAGACTCTATACGAGTCACCTGTTTCTCTGGGAGGCGGGTGCGAATATTCTTTTCCACCCCCTGCATGAATCGAAGCGAGTCAGCATTCGAGACCTCACCATTTGCACAATGAGCTGGAGTAAGACGCTGCTGATCATCGTCAGCACTTAGATCATCGGCGATGCGAGGAGGAAACGCATCCGCAACACGCTTGTAACCCGTTGGTGGCTTAAGAAGACGGACCACACGCGCAGAAGATACGGCAAGGCTGCTGACACCAACAGGTCTTGAGCCAAAATGGCAACAAGAGAGGGAGGGAGGGAGGAGGGAGGGACGAGGGATGAGGCAAGAGAGGGCATGGAGGCGGGATGAAAGAGAGAAGGCCAAAAAAGAGAGCGAGAAGCAAGAGGCGTGCCCGGAAAAGGGAGGAGGGAGAATAGAAGGAGGGAGCAGGGAGCAGGAGGAGTAGAGGGGGGAGGGAGAACGGAGGAGAGAGGGAAAAGGAACGAAGGAGGAATAAGGGATGATGGATGATGGAGCATGAAAAGGTAAGGAAGCGGAAGAGGTAGGAGGTAGGAGGTAGGAGGCTGGAGGTAGGAGGTAGGAGATAGAAGGAGGGAGGAGGAGGAGAAGGAGGAGGAAGGAGTGGATGAAGGGGGATGCAGCAGTGAGCAGACTGGAGCAAGGAAATAGGACGAGGGACGAGGGACAAGGAGTGGAGGGAGGCAGGAAAAAGGGGAGAAGGCTGCGGGGATGAAGGATGAGGGTTGAGGGAGGAGAAAGCGGGGGAGAGAGAAGTGAGGCGAGATGGAAGGCAGTGCGAGTAGCTCGCGCTGCTTTGTCACCGCTCGCACCTCATACGCACCGAGCGCGGACAGCGAGGGAGTCCTGCCAGTCTTCAGAGGGGACAACAGCCTACCCGCTGGGGGGGGGGCCCACTAACAACCCACATCCAAACTGGCCGCAGGATGCCAAAGCTCAGGGGGCACATGGAGGTATACTGCCCTCGTGCGTCGCCCGGAAGCCCCTGCCTCTTTGGCCGTTGCCCGCGCAATGATTCCACGAAGGGCCGGTCACTCGACGCTCAGGGAACCCGCCCTGCTCGCTGGGGTGGGGCCCAGTGAAGGGGCCCTGGGACACACAAATAAATACACACACAAATAACAGGATTCCCCATATGTTCCCATATGTTCTAAGTTTTTGTCTTCCCCCCCACTTCCCATATGTTCCCATATTTTCCTGGGAGTGGGCGATTAATTGTGTCTGTGTGTTTTTTCCCCTCCTGACCCAGGTCGCCCTGTGGGGCTCCGCACGCCGTGGGCCTTGGCACCACCAGGGGGTTCCGCACGCCGCTGGCGTCCAGTCGTGGCTGCGCACGCGAAGGGGAGCCCGCGGTCCCAGGGCCGCTGGAGCCCCACGGAGTGCCACACGACACGGCTTTCGGAGCCCCACTGTGTTCCACACACACACACACACACACACACACACACACGCACACACGCACGCACACACACACAAGCAAACAAACCTGCACTATCTAGACGTGTGCGTGTACATCTATATATATGTGTGTATATATGTATATATGGTCCAGGGCTTGGGCCCCCCCCCAATGCTGATGCCATTGGCCCCCCCCCCCCCGCGCGATGGTCCCCCCCGCCCCCCCCTGCGGGCGTGGCGTGGTGCTGCGCTGCGGTGCCCCCCTCCCTCCCCTGTGGATGTGGTGCGGTGCTGTGGTGGTTCAGAGGTCGACGTCGTCGTCGTCGTCGTCGTCCTCGTCGTCCTCGTCGTCCTCGTCGTCGTCGTCGTCGTCGTCGCCGTCGTCATCGTCGTCATCGTCGTCGTCGCCGCCGCCGCCGCTGGCGTCGTCGCCGCCATCGTCGTCATCGTAGTCGTCGCCGTCGTCGTCGTCGTCGTCGTCGTCGTCGTCGTCGGCGCCGTCGTCGTCTCTGGGACCATACCATCTGGGGGGGGGGGCCCGAGGAATCCTGCAGGGAGGCCCAAGGAGGCCGCAGCGATGGCTCCAGACGCCTTTCAAGACGACTCCCATGACGCCAAGAAGGCCCCCGAAGGCCCCGAAGACGCCCCAAGAGGCACCCCGAGAGAAGCCCAATAAGCAAACATCGTCGATTTCCTATGGGAAAACTGCTAATTTTGGCGTGTTTGCCTTTGGGGCGTCCACTGCATCCAAGACGACCCAAGGGGCACCCAAGCAAGTCGAGGATGCCCTCAAGAAGGCCCCAAGACGGCCCACGAGGGGGCCAAGACGGCCCACGAGGCGCCCAAACCGCCCAAGAACGCCACAAGGCGGCGCCGAAGACGGGGATGAGGAACCGGAAATTCTGGCCTTTGGCCCAAGAGACCCCCAGGAGACCCCAAGAGGCTCCAAGAAGGGGCCCAGAAGACCCAAGACGCCCCCATGAGACCTGAGAAAACACCACAAGAGGCTCCGAAGACGCCCCAAGAGGCACCCCGAGAGTGGCCCAATAAGCAAGCATCGTCGATCTCCTATGGGAAAACTGTTAATTTTGGCGTGTTTGCCTTTGGGGCGTCCACTGCATCCAAGACGACCCAAGAGGCACCCAAGCCGGTCGAGGATGCCCCCAAGAGGGTCCCAAGACGGCCCACGAGGGGGCCAAGACGGCCCACGAGACGCCAAAACCGCCCAAGAACGCCCCCCAGGAGCCCAAGAGGTCTTTCCGGGGAGCCTCCACAGCGCCCCAGGAGGGCCCAAGACGCCTCCCAGGAGCACCCAGAATGTGAAAGGATGGTCCAAGACGTTCCCAAGCAGCCCAAGTCCGCCTTCGGACGGCGCTCGAGGCTCCCAGGTGGCCTCCAAGAGACCCCAAAAGTGCCGAGAGGCGTCCCGGGACGGCCCGAAGAGGCCCAAATCGTCGATCTCCTATTGTTTTTTCAATGTTTTTGGCTTCTCGCGTTTTCGAGCTTCCAATGGTCCAAGAGCGCCGAAGAGGCTCCCAAGACCGCCCCAAGCAAGACCACACAAGAGACCCTTAGGACGGCCCCAAGACGAGCCAAGAGGGCTCCAAGACTGCCGAAGAGGCGCCCAGGACAGCCCCAGACTACCCCAGAACAGGCTCAAAATGGGCCCAAGAGCGGGAGCATGAGGCTTCCAGCGACCTCCGAGAGGCCTCTGGGACCCCCCAGAGGCCCCCAACACACCCCCGATCCCTGAGAGGCCCCAAGACCCCGACGAGGCCCCAAGAGCAGCCCAAGAGAGCTGCGAGAGCCGTCCCGAGAGAGCCCAAAGAGAGTCAAATCGTTGATTTCCTATGGTTTCTGACGTTTTTCCCGCTTCCAACCCTCGAAGATCGAGGATTTTTTTGGAAACAAAAAAGAATTCCCAGAATTCCCGTGTTTATTTTTCAAAGTGAGACTCCGACTCGGAGATCCCGCACATCCCCTCACATCTGGCCGGTATCGCGCCTCCGGTTTCCCGGGGGGCCCCAAAGACGCCCAAGGACAGCCCAAGACGACCCCAAGGAGCCCCCAGAACGTAAAGAACAGCCCAACACGCTCCCGCGCAGCCCGAGACACCCTTCCGACGGCTCTCCAGGCCACCAGGAGGCCTCCAGAACCCCAGGGGGTCTGGAAGATCCCACACCCCTGAGGGGCTCGGCTAACAAAACCCGCAAGGCACAAACAAAAAACAGCGCCGAACAGCGCCGAGGAACTGGAAAAAAATTGTAATCCCACAATTCCTTGTTTGTTTTCTTTGTTATTCAAGTTTGGCCCCCGGTCTACTCTTGCACAACAGACCACCATTCAGACCCCCTCACCTCCCCCCCAAAAAATGAAGCCTTTGAGGTCTCCAGATCATTGAATACCCAAAGAAAATCAATTAATGATTTCTGCGTTTCCGCACCTCCCCTTCTATACGATTCCGAGGCTTGCACAGGGCCTCCAAGGGAGCCCCTGGACGCAGGAAGCGATCAAACTGAGATTACATGAGTTTGCCGATCAAGCCTAGCTAGATCTTGAGCGCGCGCGAAGCGCGCGCGATGGTTCTAGTGTGTATATATATATATATACATACATACATACATACATACATATATACAGACAGACAGACAGACAAACAGACAGACAGACAGACATACCTACATACATAAACACATACATACATACGTACGTGCCTTCGTTTCTATGATCGCACGCGGCCGGGGAATGAATCCACACGGGCGTGTGAAAACACACACACATGGGAGCCACCACGCAAGGAGATCCGCACACGTGGAGTTCCACACGTACACACACAAACAAACAAACACAACACATACACACACACACACACAGACACACACACACACACACACACACACACACGCACGCGCGCAGACCAAAAAAAAATACACACATAAACAAACACAACATACGCATGCACGCATACACACACACACAAAAACAAACAAAGCATACACAGACACACACACACACACACACAAAAACACACACACACAGTCCCACAAATTCACACAAACACACACACACACACACACACATACACACACACACACACACCCACACACATGGAGCTCCACACGCGTGGGGTTCGACACAGGTGGGTATTTACACGCATGTTCCACACCCACGGAGCGTCTCACGAATTAGAATCATTTCAGCAAGCGTGGATCCCTGCCAGAAGGCCGCTGGACTCTCGATGTGACACGTGTGTTGCAACCAATGTGTTGTGCAATATGCGCGGTGCAAGATGTACGGGCACATACTTTGGCCTTTATTGAAGTCGTCGACTCTAAGGCTCGAGCTATCATCCCATCCAACCATACAGAACCTGCTGGCAAACCCAACTGGCTCAATGCCGCAGGGACACTTATCATGCGGATCCATGAATCGGGCGGGCGAGTGCTGATGGTGACGATATAGGCGGCGATGCCGATGATGATGGTAGCGCTGATGACGAGGGCGACGGCCACAACAGTGACGATGACGATGGCGATGACGACGGCGGTAATGGTGGTGATGATGACCATGATGATGATGACGACGGTGGTGATGGTGATGGTGATGAAAAGTATGATGGCCACTATGGTTATGATGGCGACGATAATGATTGCCATGGTGATGACGGTGGCGTAGATGACGCTGGTGATTGAGAAGATGATGGTGATGATGATTATAATGGTGATGCTGGTGCTCATGCTAATGCTGATGATGATGATGAGGTTGATTGTGATGTAATGTTGATGACGTTGATGCTGATGATGACGACGACGATGGTGATGATGATGATGATGATGATGATGATGCTGGAGATGATAATGATCATGAGGATGATGACGATGATGATGATAATGATAATGGAGATGGAGATGGTGATGGTGATGATGATGATGACCTCTGGTGCTGACGAAGATGATGAGGTGCGCCCGCACAGACACTCTGATAGGCTTCCCGTTGGGAAACAGCGGGTGGTTCAGACGTGCTCGAACATCTGTGCTGAAATGCGTAGAATACAGAATGATCGCAATGGGGTAGACAAGCTCGCGCGTAGACGCACGCAGGTGGCCCGCATGAACTTGTTTGACAAGTCGCTGGCGGCTGCTCGATGACCGTCCAATGGGTGCGACATGCGCGCGCGTGGCCAGCATGGTCTGGTTTGGCAGCACGGCAAGGCAGTGGTTTTTCTGATCGTGCACACACTGACATCTGACAGTGTGAAAGTTTTCTTATTCGGCGCTTCGACATTGAGCGAAAAGGGGAGGGAAGGGGGGGGATGGCTCCGGACCTCTGCTTAGTGCGGCTGTTTGCAACCGTGCGTCCTCTGGGGGAGACCCCACCTGCTCGAAACAGGTGCCAAAAAACAGCCAAGCTCTACTCCATGGGGGGGAGAGGGGTGCGAGGGCCCGCGACGATCGGCGAAACAATGGATAAGAAAACGACCACAACATTGGAATCAAAGTGATGTTTCGATAGCTGGCCGTGTGCCCCGCACAAAATGATTGGGACGCTGGGGGGTTGATGCCGGCCCCCTGCGCATCGTTCGATTTGACATTCACCAAGAAAGATCGCTCGAAAACATTACCGGCCCACGCATGGTGTGGCCCGCACAGTATTACTTGATACGGATCTTGTTACACGTACACTTGTTGGACCCACCCGTGTGCCCCGCACGGCATGATGCGGATTGTGGACGAAAAATAAAACTGGTCAAAATATACTCCAAAAATGCACAAAAAATGCTAAAACATCGTCACCATACGATTTGTTGGTTCGATGTTTCTGAACTTTCCTCCTGTGGAGGGACACATGCAGACGACTGAAGATTGGACAGGGATGATGGGGGGGCGATGCCGACCCCCTGCGCACTGCACGATTTGATTTTCACCAAGATTCAATCGTTCGAAGACGTTGGCGGGCCACGCAGCCGGGAAAAGCGGGTCAGAATTGCGAGGCATGGAAACGCCTGAGGGACCGCGATTTACCGTGTGGCTGGACTGCAACAAATCCCCCACCCCTCTGGGAAACCAGAGGAGGGGGGAGGAGGTAAAGTGAGAGGGCGCGCCGCTGGATGTCCCCAAAGGAGGGGGGGAACCCCCCCCTTTCCCCGATCCGTCGTCGGGGACAGGGAAACCCCCCCCCCCTCCTCCCCCTCCCCGGTCCGTCGTCGGAGAACCCCCCCCCCCTTTCAAAAGGGGGGGAAGGGGTTCCGACCCCCCCCCCTCCCCCGCTTTGGCCGCCAAATTCGCCCCCCCCCCCTCCCCCCCTTTCGCCACGGCGTCCCCGGTCTCCGGAACCCGACCCCAACCACCCCCAACACTAATCCTCACCCTTACCCTAAACCCCAACCCTAGCCCCAAACCCCCTAGCCCCAAACAGCACTCACTACTCATTACGCACTACTCACTACCCACAATTCACTACTCGCTACTCACTACTCACTTCTCACTACTCACGACTCACTACTCATTACCCACGAGTCACTACCCACTACTCACTACACCGTACTCCCTACACACTACTCACTACTCACTACTCACTACAAACTACTCACTACTCACAACCCACTACGCAATACTCACAAATCACTTTGCACACAACTCACAACCCACTACTCACAAATCACAAATCACTACTCACTCCCCACTAACCACCATCCACTACTCACTATTCACATTTCACTACTCACTACTCACTGCCAACAATTCACTACTCACTACCCACTACTCGCTACTCGCCACTCCCTACGACCGACACAGTACTCACTACTCACTACTCGCTACTCCCAACGCCCTACTCGCTACCCAAATAACACCATTCACTACCCACGACTCACTACTCACTACGCTCCCACTACTCACTACTTCCTACTCCCTACTCACTACTCCCAACGGGCTACTCACTAATCACTACCCAATACTCCATATTCACTCTTAACTCAACACTACTCACTGCCCACTACTGAGTACTCACTAAGCACTACTCACTACCCACTGACCACTATCCACCACGTACTACTGAGTACTCACAGTTCACTACTCACTACGCACTGCCAACAACTCACTATTCCCTATCCACTATTCGCTACCCAATACGAAATATTCACTACCCGCGACGCACTACTCGATACTCACTACTCACTACTCACGACTCCCTACTCACTAGTCACTAGTCGCAAGTCGCTACTCACTACTCACTACTCACTACTCACTACTTACGACTCACTACTCACTACTGACTAACTTCTACTCGCAACTTCCTACGCACTACCCACTACTCAATACCCACTTCTCGCTTCACTACTCACTACTTACTACTCCCTACTCCCTACTCACTACTCACTACTCACTACTCGCTACTCCCTACTCGATAGGCACTACTCCCTACTCACTACTCACTACTGACTCCTGACTACTCCCTCCTCACTACCCACTACTCACAAGGCCCTACTCGCTACTCACCACTCACTACTCGCTACTCCTTACTCGCTACTCCCTACTCGCTACTCACCACTCACTACTCACCACTCACCGCTCACTACGCACTACTCACTACTCACTACTCACTCCTCACTATTCGCTGGTGTCTACTCCCTCATCCCTACTCCCTGCGTACTACTCACTATGCACTACTCACTACACACTACTCACTCCTCACTACTCACTACTCATCATTCCTTACTCTCTACTTCCTTCCCACTACTCACTACCCAGTACTCACTACTCACTACTCACTAATCTCTACACACTACTCACTACTACTACTACTACTACTACTACTACTACTACTACTACTACTACTACTACGACTACTACGACTACGACTACTACTACTACTACTACTACTACTACCACTACTACTACTACTACGACTACTACTACTACTACTACTACTACTACTACTACTACTACTACTACTACTACGACCCATTATCCACTACTCTTTTCTCACAACTCACTGCGCACTACTCACTATCAAATACCCACTACTCACCAATCGCTACTCAAAACACTCTACTCTGTATTCACTACCCGAGAGGCCCCCTCCCCAGCCCCCTGTTCGGCGCAAAGGGGGGGAGGGGGGAGGGGGGTTCGAGCCCCCCCCCCCCCTTTCCAGTGCCAAAGGGGGGAGGGGGGGGGGTCCGGACCGTACCCCCCCCCTTCAAGGAGGGAAGGGGGGGGGGGTCGGAACCCCCCCCCTTAAGGGGGAAGGGGGGGGGGGGTCGAAAATCTCACCCCCCCTTTGAAAGGGGGGGTTCTGCGAGCACACCCCCCCTTTTGTGTATTCAAGGCTATCCACTGGCGAGCTTTCGTAAAATGTCCCCCCCCTTCCAAGGAACCGGGGGGGAGGGGGGGCGCCCCCCCTGCCCAGAAATCGGGGAGGGATTATGCGCTTGACGATGTTCGTGGAAGTTGCATACACATTTCAACTCATCCCTCACAAAAATTCTGCACAAAACGCTCCGCATGCATTCTTAACGTTAAGAGGGGATCTGCGGACCCCGTCAATGACCGAGGACCCGAGATACGCACGAACCGCGTACTTTAGGCTGGGAAATTAACTGTATGTTGGCTTATCGAGCGGAAATTAACTGTATGTTGGCTTCGAGCGTGGCCCGAAGGGACAGTTACAAATTAAAAGAGAACCCTGGACTCGTACCCTTCCCAGGGAAAAGAATGACCATACAAGAAGCCAGACAGTTCAGTCTGGCCGCTTCAGGGGGTCCACAAGTCGTAGTCGTAAGAAGTAGCAAGACGGATGGCAATGCCAAGAGTAGTTGTGATAGCAGCAGCTGTAACGGTAGTAGAAGTCGTAGTTTGGCGGCGCGCAGAGGGGGGTGGGGGGAGGGGGGGAGGCTTCTTAGAAGCACCCCTGCTTCTCAGAAGGCGCGTGCCTTGTCTGAAGATGTACTGCCGGCACCTTCTAAGAAGCAGCTTCCTTCTAAGAAGCCTTCCCCCCTCCCCCTACCTTGACCACGAAAAAGCACATCCCCAATCCCAAAATCGCGGATTCACCGAGGATTCGAAGATCGGCCAAAGATTTCGGGGCATGTTTTGCGTCCGTCGTCGCCGCCCTGGTAAAACCCTACCCCGAAATCTCCCTCCCCGAAGTCTCGAGGAGCCTGCGTTTTGTCTTGGCCCTCGCGTTTTTGGGATGGGGCATCTGTTTTGCCTTAGTGATCCCGTCCCTCTGCGCGCCGCCAAGTAGTGCACGACAGCCTGATGGGACGCACATGGACATTCTAATACTATATGTCCTCCTTGGAGGCGCGCGTCCGACCCGAACATATAGTATACCCATCTTGTAGTATATCGTTTCCCGAGCGGTGTGGCCAGAAAGCGCCCGCCACGACGCATATACTATAAGATTTCTCGGTGCGCGCGTCGCCCCTGGGGGGGCGACGCACACATAGTATAAGTATGTTGGGGTGTTGCCGGCCTGAAGCTGCACGCGCACGCACGACGCGGCTGCGAGGCGACGACGGAGGGCCGCCGGGCCGAGTCCCCCGAGGAGCGCACGCCGGCCAACGGGGCGGCGGCGGAGCGGAGACACAGGCGGCCAGAGGGCAGACATCCAGGAGCCCAACGCGAAAGTGAAAAAAGAGGGCAGACATCCATCCAACGCGAAAGTGAAGCAGACATCCAGAGGGCAGACATCCATCCATGAGTGAAAGAGAAAGTGAAAAACCCTCAGTGAAAGCACCACTCTGAAGGGGCCCCAGGACACACAAATAGATGCACACAAATAAGATGATTCCCCATATCTTCCCATATTTACCCGTATTTCCCATTATTCCACAAGGGCCCCCAACTCCCCAGTGACTTCAAGAAGAAAATAAAAAACCCTCAGTGAAAGCACGACGCCGTTTCCGACGTTTTTCGGTACACGGGGATATCTCCGACGTCATTTCCGACGTTTTTCGGTACCCGGGGACAAGGGGGTATAGAAAACTCCACTTCCAGAGCCCCCCCGGATCGGCGGCACTGGCCGGAGGCCAGCCCAATAAAGTAAAAAACCCTCAGGGAAAGCACCACTCGGCGAACAAGATTCCACGACGTCAACGACTTCGGCCACCGAGGACCCGACGGAACCGCTACGGCTTGGCGACGGCTGCGGCATGATCTGACTTGGTGTGGGTCGGCAGCGAGGGCGAGGGTCGAGTCGACCTCAGAAAGTGGCCCTTCTGCCCCCCCCCCTCCCCACCCCTGTCCCCAAGCCCCCTCCGCGACAGCCCAGACTCGCCAAGACACAACAGCTAACTCAGCTCAACTACAAGAGGCGCACGCGGGTGCCACAGAGGCGCACTCACATCCTCATGGGCGTGGCGAGGTTCACGAAGCCGGCAGAGTTCGAGAAGTACTTCTCGCCGACGTCTGGTGCCTTTCGAGTCGCGTTCGGGTTAGCCAGCTCGATACCCTGGACAGGCGTGAACGCTAGAGAACTCGACAGCCCAGACTCGTTGCCCGCGGCCGCAGCGTTTCGCTGGCGCTTCTGCGCCTTGAGGTGCGCCTGCAGCTGCTTCTCTTTGTTGACCTTCACGGTCTTCAACGCCTGCGGCTTGCCCTCGAAGAAAGGGATACCGAGGCCCCACTCCTCCGTGTAGATGTTCTCCTCGGCATCGACACCAAACTTGACGCGGTTGACCAGCTTCTTGAACTCAGACTGGCCGTACTTCTCCTTAATGCGACGGTGGCGCTTGCCGCCGCGCTTGGCGCGGGGCTTGTCCTCCGGCGGCGGCAGTGTCTTCTTCTGCTTGGCGGGCGGTGGCTCCTGCGCCTTCGCCAGCGACTGCAGGATCTTCTCCCGCAGCTGCGTCCCGACCTGCCCGAGGGGAGACTCGTGGAAAGAATCGACCTGGAGGGGAACAGAAGCCGAGACACAAACGATGACATAAGCATGAGCTTCCGAAGGTCCGCGCGGACTTCTTGGGTCGGCGCTGGAGCCCAGTGGCGGCGCCTCCAGCGCAGCCCCTGGAGGGGTTTCCGGCACCGGTCCACCGAACCCAGAACTCAGCGCGGACCTCCGAAAGCCAAGGGGCCCGGGGGCACACGAGGAAAGACACACACACACAAATCCAAGGATCCCCCATAGTCTCCCATATCTTCTGGGTCCTCGTCTTCCCCCCCACTTCCCATATTTTCCCACGCCTTCCTGGGGGTCGACGATGAATTGTGTCCGTGTGCTGTGCCCCCTCCCGAGGAAGCGTGTGTCGTGCCCCGCTCCGCCGGGGGTGCGCGGCTGCCGCTGCCTGCCCCTGAGCTCTCCCGAGGTGTGCTCCGGCCTGGGGTCTGGAGCTTCGGGCGCCCGAACTGGGTATGTAGGGGGCAAACAAACCTGCCTCGCTTTTGACCACCCTCGCTTCCAAGGGATGCCAAGCGATGCCAAATTGCGGCCTGTACTGGTCGGGCCGCCTGACGAGGAGGCGCGTGGCATGGCTTGGTTTTGCCTGGAAGCGAAAGCGGGGTAGGTAGTTCACGCTCTGAGGATTTACGGAAAAGATGGGCACGATGCCCACCAACAAAATGTCGCCCCCAAACCGACGGCGGCCGCTGTTGGGCAGGCGGCCTTCTGTCTAAGACGGACACCGGGCCGCGGCGGCACCGACAGCGAGTCCTGCGCAGAATGAGCATGACGAACCAACAACACACACCCATACCCATAGGGGGATCGGAGAGGGCTATGGGTGCGTGTTGTCGGATGGGGGTCCCCGCTCGAACGGGAGCGTTCCCCCAGGGTCCGACAACCCGCACCCTTACCCATAGCCAGTCCTCCTCCCAACGACCTCCCTCTGGGTATGGGTGTGTGTTGTTCGTTCGGCAGAACAGGAACTGCTGTTGGGCATCGTACCCATTCTTTCCGTGCCCATGTCGGTCGTCCCGAGGAGCGTTTGGACACCCGAAATGGGTACGGAAAGAATGGGCACTATGCCCAACAGCAAATGTTGTCCCAAGCCAGCAGCGGCCGCTGTTGGGCGGGCGGCCTTCTGTCTCGAATGGACACGGGCCGCGGCGGCGCGGACAGCGAGTCCTGCTGAAGATGAACAGGAATTTGTGTTGGGCATTGTACCCATTCTTTCAGTACCCATTTAGGGCGACGAGATCTATACATATCCGCTGCTCTCTGGCCAGGCCCACCCTGAACCCAGCAGCTGTGTATACGCCCTTCTGGTCAAGCCAGGAGGCCGTCGCGTATACACCGCTGCCAGGTTGAGGATAAACGTAACCAGGGAGCAATGGATATGTATAGATCTCGTCACCCTACCATTTCGGGCGTCCAAAATTCTTTCCGTGCCCATGTCGGTCGTCCCGAGGAGCGGGTCCGGCCGCGATGGCCAGCGAGGGCCGGCCGGGAGGCCCGGAGGGGCGAAGACGGCGGAGGGGCAGCGGCGATGCAGCGGGGGGGCCAGTCCACGGGAGACCTTCCACAGGATCCTCCTCCTCCTCCTCTTCCTCCTCCTCCTCCTCCTCCTCCTCCTCCTCCTCCTCCTCCTCCTCCTCCTCCTCCGCCTCCGCCTCCGCCTCCGCCTCCGCCTCCTCCTCCTCCTCCTCCTCCTCCTCCTCCTCCTCTTCCTCCTCCCTCTCCTCGGCCCAACCCTGAGACCCCAGGACCTCCATTGAGTGTTAAAGTGCGGGAAGGTCACGCTCTGCACCGCAAAACCATCGAGGCACAGGAAGCCCAGGGCACCCTGGAGGCGAACAGGAGGTTTCTTGGCATGGGGTCTCCACTGTATCGTCAGACACTCGTTCTGGGGACCTTCTAGAGCCACCAGAGTCGAACTCGAGGCAAACTTGAGTCGAGTCAGGATCGGGCAAGAGCCGAACTGGAGCCCAACTGGGGTCGAGCAGATCAGTCGGGTGGGCCCAAGAAAATCCGAACATAATGGACCCACGAACCCAGAAAGAAGTATGAACATGTAAGACATGGAAGCGCTTTCAAGATACCTTACTAGACGACGGTCAATTGCAATGCTGAAAGTGTCGATGGTTATGTACCGTGCCTGGAGCTATGATGTTCTTTTCCGCGCTGCATTGACATGTATCATGCCGCGGCGAACAGGGCACAGGGGACAGTGGAACACAACTATAAGCGAACCCTGGGCCTACGCCCTTTCCAGGAACCACGAACGTCTAGATATCGGCCTCGATGCGAATGCTTTCGTCCTCCGACGGGCCCGCGCGGCGAGCCCGCACTTGCCGGCCACCAGCTTGACGGCCCGGTTGCGGAACTCCATCGGAGTGCTAAGGATGAGGTCGCTGGCGAGGATGATGCCTGGCGGGCGGCGGCGAAGGCGGCCGCCCCCGCAAGCAGGCAGGCCTGAGCTGGATCGTCGGGAGCGGCCAAGAGGGGGGTGTCCAAGACGGGGGGGTGCAAATCATGACCGGCGGCATGTGCGCGGCCCAGCGGGGGGGCCTGGGATGTAAAGAAACAAGAAGAGGCGCCAAGAACTCTGGGGAGATATCACGGCCCCCGCCATGATATCCACCCCCCCCTAATCATCACCCCCCTCTTTTAAGCCCCCGAAAGCAGGCAGGCCTGAGCTGGAGCGAATCGTCAAGTCGGATCGGGCCGGAAACGCATCGGGTCGCCAGCGAGTCGGCCCGAAGCGGATCGACGTCGGATCGCGGCGCCCAGCTGCGACGGGCCCGGGACGGTGCTGGTGAGCCGAACCGCAGCGGGTCGAGTCGGCTTACGGATACGTGGCTGTGGCGCGTGGGTGCCTCCTCCTCCTCCTCCTCCTCCTCCTCCTCCTCCTCCTCCTCCTCCGATCTGGGTGGAGGGTTTCTCCGAAGGGCTCAGGCGGCCCGTCCTCCTCCTCCCTCCCCTCCTCCCCTCCTCCTTCCCCTCCCCTCCTCCTCCTCCCCCCTCCTCCCTCCTCCTCCCTCCTCCTCCCTCCTCCTCTCCTCCTCCTCCTCCTCCTCCTCCTCCTCCTCCTCCTCCTCCTCCTCCTCCTCGGGCCGCCTGCGGCCCCGAGGGAAGCCGTGCAAATCAGGGAAGCTACCCCCAGAAGCATGGCGCCAGTGCCGCTGGACCTGGCCACGGCGCCCGCCGAGGCTCTGCGTGGAGACGGGACCCGTCGCTGCTCCGGGCACCTTCTAATCAGTGCTTGCGCAGGCTCGAGTTGTCACCGAAGAACAATCGCTCACCCTCTCCCTCTTGACTGCAGCACACGACAGCGAAGCTCCGCTGCAGCGTGAGGCAGCGCATCAGAGCGGACGCCGAACGGTGTAGTCGACGAGCCCATGCGTAGTACACCCTGCGAAATGCTTTAGAAATCATGGGTTAAGAAATTCATAGTCTCAGAACTTGAATAAAAACCCAAAAATTCCATTCAAATCTTAGGATTTACATTGAAACGTTAAGAATAATCGAGACTCTGGCCGAAAACTTAGGTTTTCTTAAGCATCGCCTAAGGTGTATAGCACCGGCCGTGAAGTGCAAAGAGAGCGGAGACGAGAAGGTAAACGTAAGCGGGCCGACGGCGGCCTCCTCTTCTCCCCCCACTCACTCTGCAGAAAGGCCGAGGAGAGCTGGGCGGCCCATGGAGGAGGAGGAGGAGGAGGAGGAGGAGGAGGAGGAGGAGGAGAGGTTGGAGGGAGGAGGAGGAGGAGGAGGAGGAGGAGGAGAGAGGGAGGAGCAGGAGCAGGAGGAGGAGGAGGAGGAGGAGGAGGAGAGGAGGAGGAGGGAGGAGGAGGGAGGAGGAGGAGGAGGAGGAGGAGGAGGAGGAGGAGGAGGAGGAGGAGGAGGAGGAGAGGCTCCCCCTGGGCGTGGCGGCTCCTGCGTCGGCACCATCGGCGGCTTCCTGCTCGTGTTGCTCGGCCAGAGGCCGGGCGCGCTCCGACACGGCTCGGGGAGAGCGCCCCAGCCCGCAGCGTGGCGCCAGCACCGCCCAAAATCTGGCGGCGGAGCGCGCCGAGTAGGTGAAGCGGAGCCCGTCGCCAATCCACGCGCCCTGACCCGTGTCTACTGTTCCTCGAGGTCACTGCCTCGCCCGACGGGTCGCAGCTCCTCCCCCATGCTCTATATATATATATATATATATATATATACAAATACATATATATGTGTTCCTGCGCCCGCGCCTGGAGGGGCGGCAGAGGCAGGAGCACCTCGTCCCTCCCCCCCCTCGCGCAAGGCGGAGGAGGTCTCCTGCTCCCCCTCCCCCATCCCCTCTTCCACCTCCGTCCTGCTCACCCATGCCCTCGCTTGAGCTTTGGACGGTTCTCAGGGCCTGCCCAGGAGGGGTGGGGGAGGGAGAAGACACAGGTCAGTAAGGGAGGAGGAGGAGGAGGAGGAGGAGGAGGAGGAGGAGGAGGAGCAGGAGGAGGAGGAAAAGGATGAGAAGAAGAAAGAGGAAGGTAGAGTGAGAAGAAGAGGAACACGAGGGGGGGACGAAGCGAGGGAGCCGGGAAGCGAGAGAAGTGAGGGAGGCCGGGATCCGGGGAGGAAGGGGAGGAAGGGGCAGGGAGGCAGGGGGCAAGGAGACAGAAGGGGGGAGTCAGGGGAGGGACAGGGACGCAGTGGAAAAGGGGAGGAGGAGGGGCGGGAGCGGAGGGCAGGAAGAGGAGGGAGCAGAGCGGACCCCCAGACCGGACCAAGACGGCCCAAGTGGTCGTCCAACGAGGGCCCCGGGACGGCCCAAGAGACCCCCAAGACGGTCAAGGAGGCCTTCGGGAGGGCCCCAAGAGGTGCCCACGGCAGGCCGGGGGGGGGGGAACTCGCAGGCCGACCCCGGGGACTGCCCCCACAAGATGGCACCCAAGACCCCGATGGACCACGAAGAGGCTCGCTCGAGGCCCCCCCCCCCCCCAAAAGGCCCCGAAAAGCCACCAGAAGACCCCAGAGAGCTCCCCCGAAGGCCCCAAGAAGCCATCAGAAGGCTCCCGAGGGACCGCCCCCGAGGCCTCCGAAAAGGCCCCACAGAGGTCCCACAACATACGCGGAGGAAGAGGAGAACGAACCGGCAACAGCGACACGCAGGCAGCACAACGGGAGGCGGCGAACACATACGATATCGGAACACGCACATCTGCGTTTCTGGGGGTCGGCGGAATGGCGTAGGCATCTTGGTTGTTGGGTTGGAGAGGTAGGGGGGACCTCCGCCTCCTCCTCCCTCGTCCCTACTACCCCTCCTCCTCCTCCTCCTCCTCCTCCTCCTCCTCCTCCTCCTCCTCCTCCTCCTCCTCCTCCTACCCCTCCTCCTCCGCCTCCTCCTCCTCCGCCTCCTCCTTTTCCTCGTTCCTCCTGCGTTCCCGTGTTTCCTTGTGAATGCCCCACCCCTTCCTCCTGTAGCGGGACTGAGCTCTGCGCGGGTCCCTTTGGTCGGCACTGGACCCCCTCCCGGGCGCGAGGAGCTCCCCAGGGCTGGCGCCGGAGGCGCCGCCAGGGGGGCCCAGCGCAGATCCAAGAAATTCGCGCGGAGCCCCGAAAGTTTATGCTTAAGCAGTTTTGCAGAAGAAGAAAAAACGGCATAAACATTGGCGCTCCGCGCGGATTTCTGGGATCTGCGCTAGACCCCCCTCCCTGGCGCGCGGAGCGCGCCAGGGGCGGCGCCGGAGGTGCCGCCAGGGGCGTCCCAGTGCAGATCCAAGAAATCCGCGCAGAGCGCCAAAAGTTTCATGTGAAGGGCGTTTCTTCTTTTTCGAATGTCTTCGTCGATATTGTGAAGGGGCCCCAGGACACACACACAAAAATACACACAAATAAAACCAATCCCCATATTTTCCCATATTTTCTAGGTTTTTGTCTTCCCCCCCACTTCCCATATTTTCCTGCATTTTCTTGGGAATCGAGGATTAATCGTGTCTGTGTGTTTCTTTTCCTCCTGATATTGGCCCTCACGCTGCTCCTGTGGGGAGTCCACCCAAAAGGACGTGCGCGCCCAACCAAGCACAGGATCACGGCCACCCGGCGCGCGCGACCAGCCGTGTGTGTTGCGAACGTTCGCGCAAGGCGCCCTCTGGAAGCCAAGGTGGATTCAGGTACGTGTACGTCCATCTTTCGCTCCTGATCCCACTCCCACCTCGAGGAATAGGAGGAGGAGGAGGAGGAGGAATAGAGGAGGAGGAGGAGGAGGAGGAGGAGAAGGAGGGGAGGAGGAGGAGGAGGAGGAACAGAGGAGGAACAGAGGAGGAGGAGGAGGAGGAGGAGGAACAGAGGAGGGGGAGGAGGACAGGAGGGAGGGGGATAGGAGGAGGAGGAGGAGGAGGAGGAGGAGGAGGAGGAGGAGGAGGAGGAGGAGGAAGGAGGGGAGGAGGAGGAGGAGGAGGGGGCGCGACGGGAGCCGGGCGACGCAGGGGCACACCGCGCCCGGGCCCCCCCCCCCGGGCGCTGCCCTGCGTGTGGTACGAGGACTGCGCCATGCCCAGGAGGGCCTTCTTCTGGGAGCCCACCAGCATAATGTTCTGGCGGGGCCCTCCTCCTCCTCCTCCTCTCCTCCTCCCTCCTCCTCTTCCTCCTCCTCCTCCTCCTCCTCCTTTTCCCTCCCCTCCTCCTCCTCCTCCTCCCTCCTCCTCCTCCTCCGCCCTCCTCCTCCTCCTCCTCCTCCTCCTCCTCCCTCCCTCCCTCCCTCCCTCCCTCCCTCCCGCGGGCGAGGGAGGGAGGCCCTGCCGGGCGCGGGCGAGGGCGAGGGAGGGAGTCGGGGATCTTCTGACCCGGGTCAATCCAGACCCGGGTCAGCAGGAAACGAAAAACTGCAATGCAAGAACAAAAAAACTGCAACGCAGGTCTTCGCAAACCCGGGTCAGCCAATGGGGCGCGGCCGCCCCGCGGCCACGAGCGGCTCGCTAACCCGGGTCAGCCAGAGGGGGTCTTCGCAGGATCCTGCAGGATCCGGCGCCCTGGCTGACCCCCGTCTGCATTGACCCCCGTCTCGAGGCTCCCGAGGGAGGCCCTGCCGATGGGCGCCGGGCCGAAATGAGCACCGATGATCCGATCCCTATCCCCAGCGGCGTGGCCTGGGCCCCCCTGGATGGGGATATGGGCCGTCTCGTTCGGGCTTCGAGGGGTGCATCCCCAACTGGGGGGGTAATTTGGTGGGGGTCTCGAAGAGGATGGGGATGGGGATGTGGCTTAGTGGGCCCTGGAAACGGCAGGGCCGTTTTTTTCACCGTATCCGAAAAAATCCCTTGAAAATGGAAACGGCAAAAAAACGGCGACCGGAAACGGCAACAAAAACGGCTCCAGGATTGGAACCGGAGCGGGAACCCAGAAAAGAACGGGGACAGAACCGGTAACAAAACGGCGCCGGAACCGGCAACGAAAACGGCAGAACGGAACCGGTAAAAAAGCGGCCCTGCCGTTTCCAGGGCCCACTGAGGGATGGGGGTCGGCTAGACGACACTGACGAAAGGGGCCGCGCCCGAACAACTCAACGGCTCGAACCCCCTCTGGCATGCGGGACGCAGCCCCTGACCCCGACCGAAGGGTTGGAGGAGGAGGAGGAGGAGGAGGAGGAGCAGGAGGAGCAGGAGGAGCAGGAGGAGGAGGAGGGAGGAGGGAGGAGGGGAGGAGGGGGGGAGGAGGGGGAGGAGAGGAGGAGGAGGAGGAGGAGGAGGAGGAGGAGGAGGAGGAGGCGGAGGAGGAGGATCGAACCCCCTCTGGCATGCGGGGCGCAGCCCCCGACCCCGGCCGAAGGGGAAACGAGCCTCTGACGAACGCTCCCCCAAGCCGCCTGCGCGGGCCGGCGCGTGCAAGGCTGCGACGCTGCAATACAAAAAGAGGAGGAGGAGGAGGAGGAGGAGGAGGAGGGGGAGAGGAGGAGGAGGAGGAGGAGGAGGAGGAGGAGGAGAGAGGAGGAGGAGGAGGAGAGGAGGAGGGGGAGGAGGAGGAGGGGGGGAGGAGGAGGGGGGGGAGGAGGGGAGGAGGAGGAGGGGAGGGGAGGAGGAGGAGGGAGGAGGATGAGGAGGAGGGAGGAGAGGAGGAAGGAGGAGGACGGAAGGAGGAGGAGGGGAGGAAAAGGAGGAAGAGGAGGAAGAGGAGGAGGAGGAGGAGGAGGAGGAGGAGGGAGGGGAGGAGGGGGGAGGAGGAGGGAAGGAGGAGGAGGGGGAGGAGGAGGAGAAGGAGGAGGAGGAGGACCAGTGCAAACACAAGACGCATCAAAGATGTTGCAGTAAACACTCCCTGCACAATCCCTCTTCACAGGTCCCTAGAAGAAATGATTCCCAAGAATCCTGTGGTCTCGGGTCCTCGTCTGGACTCAGCAGCGCCCCGCGTGTCCTCCTCTCGTATCCTCCTCTCCCTCCTCCTCCCTCCTCCTCGTCATCATCATCATCATCGCCACCACCATCCTCACCACCCTTGCCATCACCATCATCATCATCATCATCATCATCATCATCATCAGAATCATCATCATCATCATCATCATCATCATCATCATCATCATCATCATCATCATCAGCACCAGCACCAGCATCAGCATCATCATCATCATCATCATCACCACCACCACCATCATCATCATCATCATCATCAGCCTCATCAGCCTCATCAGCCTCATCGGCATCAGCATCAGCACTGTCACCATCATCAGACACATATCTGCACACCCCTCACACGTCTCGTGGCCCCACAGAGAGCTCCCAAAAGTCCCAGAGAGAGGGTTCGCATGGCGACGCTGCACCAATTCCGGCACACCCCTCACACGTTTCGTGACCCATGGGGATCTCCACCGAAGCCCCCAGCGAGAGGGTTCGCATGGCGCCGCCGCTCCACCGAAAGCCCCAGTGGGAGGGTTCGCATAGCGCGTTCGAACCCATTTCGGAACAACTCCTCACACGCTTCGTGGCCCCATAGGTAGCTCCACCGAAGGACCCAATGGGAAGGTTCGCATGGCGCCGCCGCACCCGTGTCGGCACACCCCTCACACGTCTCGTGGCCCAATGAGCTTCACCGAAGGCCCCAGCCAGAGGGTTCGCATGGCGCCGCTGCATCAATTTTGGCACACCCATCTCACGCTTCGCGGCCCCATAGGGAGCTCCACCGAAGGCCCTGCGGGAGGGTTCGCATGGCGCCGCTGCGCCCATTTCGGCAGCACGCCCCTCACACGCTTCGTGGCCCCATAGATCGCTCCACCAAAGGCCCCGGTTGGAGGGTTCGCATGGCGCCGCAGCACCCATTGCGGCTCACCCCTCGCACGGTTCGTGAACCCCCTCCTTCGTCTCACCTGCCTCGCGATTCTCGCAGCTGCGTATGATTGGGCCCTTCGCCAGGATAAGCTTCAATGCGGACAGTGTTCTATTAGAGAAGAACAAGCGTCTGAGAATTCTCAGTCGTGCCAAACCGCCATTCCTGGGACTTCAACGTCGAGGATCAAATGACTGCTGAGCCCTGACAATCCGGAAACGTGTCAGAACATCGTGCCTGGGATTAAACCCGCGAATCAGCACCACCGCGCGTTCTGACAATCCTAACGCTCTTCCTGGGACTTCGACCATGCGAACCCTCCAAACTGACGCAAGTTTTGAACCGAACGTGCGGGGCGCGAAGGCGAGAGACGCATGCTGAAAAGGAACCGCCCTCCATCCATGAAAACGATGCAAACGTTTTAATGCGAATCTGCGCGGCGCGAAGGCGAGAGCCGCATTTTGAAGACCAGCCGCCATCCATCCTTTAGGAAGGCACCGATCCTTGAAACTGCTCGATCCCCCAGAAAATATGGGAAAATATGGGAAGCAGGGGGGAAGACAAAAATCCAGAAAATATGGGAAAATATGGGGAATAGTTTTATTTGTGTGTATGTATTTGTGTGTCCTGGGGCCCCTTCAATTTTGAAGACCAGCCGCCATCCATCCTTGAAACTGCAGCAAACATTTGAACACACATGCGCGCGGCGCTGGAGCGAGAGCCATACGTCGACAACGGGTCCGCCCGCCGCCCGTGAAGGTGCTGCAAATCTCAAGCTTCAGGATCATAAAGGAGGAGGAGGAGGAGGAGGAGGAGGAGGAGGAGGAGGAGGAGGGGGGAGGATGAGGAGGAGGAGGAGGAGGAGGAGGAGGAGGAGGAGTTATTGAGTTATTGATAAGGAAGGGGGAAGGCCCAGCGAAACGGGAAGGAGTTGTTGATAAGGAAAGGGGAGGGGGAAGCAGGAGGAGGAGAACCTGTATAAACCCAAGACACATCGACGATGTTGCAATCCACTCTGCCTCCACGTTCGTTACACATAGGTCCCTAAAATAATGCACTGTAAACGCTAGAAAGTGCCCATCAGAAGACAACCGTCTGATCGTGCCAAAACGTCGTTCCTGGGACTTTAACACCGCGGGTGAACGTGACTGTTGCGTCCTGACGACCCCAAAACTTGCCAGAACATCATTCCTGGGACTTCAACGCCACGAATCAACGTGACTGCTGCGTCCTGTCTATGCTAA